CTCCCTCCCCCTCCCGCTCTCCCTAGTTCTCCCGCCGCCCCGCCGATCTCCCTTCCCTCTTGTAACGACTCGACGCGGCGGAGCCGGGCTTCGGGAGACACTTCGTTCGTATCTATCAACGATGGCTGCTGTATTGACCATGATCCGGGCCTCTGGAGCCCTCAAATCCCCTTGCCTGAAGCATGTCACGTCTAGGTAAGTCAGCTAGAGCCAGAGTGAAGCTCTCCTATTCCTGGTCCGACCTGATTTCTGCCCAAAAGCCTCCTTTTGGGGTGAAGCTAGAGTACCAGTGGCCTGTCATTCTGCTGCTCTCTGGGAGGCTGCTGTTGCGACCGGCTGGTGGTTGTTTTGTGTTGATGACGATGCTATGTCACCAGGCACAGTCTGAGGTCGGGTAACTTATAGAATACACCGATTTCAGAAGGGACTTTTGTGAGTGGCTAATGGTTTTGTGAGAATTTGTTGAGTCTTGTTTGTGCAGAGGTTATTTAGGTTAACCAGGGAAAACCTGCTGTGGGTGGGATTGGTGACCTTTGTCACACTGATAACTTTATTTGGAAGCAATCGAGCCGTTGATATGCGCGTTACACATTTTGATCCGTTTCCCCTAGTTCCTCTCTTTTCATTAAGTTAGGATAATTTTATCCTTGTCCCCAGATGAAATGGACTAAATTGTTATGAGTGCATATGATATCGCTTTCATTTTAACTTGCTAGACAAATTAGCTAACTTTGATTTTCTTTTCTCAGGTCCCTATCTACGACTACACCATGTAATAAAGATAGCAATGAAGGTTGGTTCTCCAAACTGCTTGTTCGTCGCATTGAACCAACCAAAGAACCCCATTCAAGGATGTTAGCTGACAAAGAAGAAATTTACGAACTTCAAACTCATAACATTCGGCCTGATTCTACAGACAAATATCTTAAAAATTGGTATGTCTCACTGTCAATTTTGTTTTCAGTGTCTTAAAAAATCTGAATTGATTGATTTTTTAAATTGTAATTTTAGTAAAGAGAATGCAGCCTTGATAACTTCTCGTCCTGAGTTAAACTGTGAACTTGTTGCATCTTGGACTGTCTCTGTTGGTGACATGGATCAAGCTTTGCATCTTTGGCGTTATACTGGTGGATTTAACTCTGTAGACAAAACTAAACTCATCCTTGGCAAAGACGAAGTAAGTTAATCTAGAACGCAACACGCAACTTAACTCTTTAGTGGAGTTGTTATTTCTCAGTCTATGTATAACTATTCTTGAATTTTTCAGAGCTTTTTAAAACTCCAGAAAGAGAGGGGAAGTTATTTACGGTCCCGGCATCTCCAATTTCTACTTGCTTTCAATTTCTGGCCTACTATTGAGTCAAGGAAAGGAAACAACATTTATGAAATCCGGAGCTACAGTCTGAAACCTGGAACAATGATTGAGTGGGGTAACAATTGGGCTCGAGGGTTGAAATTCCGAAGAAATAATAATGAAGCATTTGCTGGGTTCATGTCACAAGTTGGAAGACTGAATAATGTTCATCATATATGGTGTATGTATGCATTCTTTTTTGTCTTGGTTCCTTGATGTAATGCTGCCAATAAATAATTTTCAATCAATTTTTGCCCTTAGGTTATGAAAGCCTGTATCAGAGAAAGGAGACACGAGAGTCAGCATGGCGGAATCCTGGTTGGGATGAATGTGTTGCATACACTGTTCCATTAATTCGAGAAATGCATTCCCGGATCCTAGTCCCAACTGAATTCAGTCCTACTCAGTAATTTTGCCATATATGATCTGATATTTCCCTAATGAAGAGAGTGAAAAAGGGTCTATGAGATTTTTCTTGTACGTGGAATAATGGGAAAAGATACTTCAATACAAATAATATTCGAATGAAAACTGTAAAAACATTAAAAAATTAGTTACCTCATTTCCATTTGACATTTGGCTGTTTGTGATATTCTGGTATTTGTTTCCCTTTAATCTGCATTCTAGGAAAACACCTAGTTTATGTAATAACCTTGAATTTCAAATGCATGATTACTTTTTCTCACTACACAATCTAAAATGTCATGTTTCTAGTCTCTCATTTTTATGTTTCATTGGACTTGAATTGTGAGTTTACTCAAGGGTTTGTGAGTTAATGTCCGTTTTCAAACAGCCCCTTTTATCCCCTACATTTCTGTTTGAAAAACAGTCAAGGCTCTTTAGTAAGAATTTTACTTATTTTTGCATATTTTATGTTTGGTTTCAATTATTTTGTTATGAAGGTGTCCTCACATCTTCTACTGCTAGAACCTTTTTTTTTCTGATGGAAGTTGAAATTGAAGCTTAACATGCATTTTCACATTGTGATCTAGTGCCGCTGTTCATACTTGAGCAATGTATTTTTCTGTCATTTTATAGGGTTTTGTTCTTTTGTTTTTGTTATATTTTAATCTTATTTTCTCAGGCTTGCTTTGCCTTGCCTAACTTTTTTTTATTTTGAGGATATTCATTTGTATTGTGCTAAGCATCTATCATGATTTAGAAGTTTTGTTATTGTTGTAAGGCATTCATTTCAAGAATGTATATTGCCCCCTTATTTTATAAGGTACTTGCTAATGAAATATTAATCAGGGAATAAATTGTGATAAACTTAACTATAAATGATGTTGTTTAATTAACTTCATTAGGTTGGAAGGCAAAGTGGAATCAATTTCTGTTTGAAAGGAGGCATGGGCATGACACAATTGAGCAGTTTCTTTATTTATTCCATCGTTGACATATATTTGAAAATAAACAGCAGTTTTGAAACAGTTCCATTATAATTTAGACTATTTTGGTTCTCTACTTTTGTCGTACAGTTCACTTGAGTTATCACAAGTTTGTAAAAGTTATTATTTTTGTGCATTATTAATTAAATTATCTTACATAAAGAATCATTCTGCTTAACTTACCTTTCAAAACTAGCAGTAAACAAATTGATATTTAGCTTGTAAGGAATGGAAGAATGGGACCAAACTACAGTTATTCAGCTACTAAGTCATTTCTATGACTAGGGGGAATTTTCAACCAGAGTTTGCTTCTATATTACACTTTCACAGTTATTAGCCGTGAGTAAAGAAAAACTGATCTGTGTTACAGGGGTTTTAACTTTGTTGTGGTGGCAATCCCTCTTTATTAATCCTAACTTTTAAACCCTAATTCTAAAAAATAAAATAAGAGCATACATCTTAATTGCAAACCTATAGCTAATCTTTGTGTACAAATTCACTTTCACTCAGGGAAATAAATAAAAATGGCAGCATCTAAAAACTAAATTGAACTTTGTATACTACGTAAATATTCATAATGCCTCGAGTAGTTGTCCAGCGCATGAGGCGTTTTAAATCGATCATTGTTCCATTGTCCACTAGGATTCAGAATTTAAAACTCAACTGTACTTGACCAGTTCATGGTTTTGTCATGAACAAAAGTCTACCCCATCTACGGTCGTTAAAAAAAGAAGGGTCATTAAATTATGATGATCACAGTCATTTCATTCTGCTGTCGGAAGCACAGGGCTCGTGGCACTATTACGGGTTGCCGGCAATACGCGTGGCCGCGGAGCGCAGGATGTCTGGGTGCAGGAGCAAGTCGGAGCCCTGGAGACCTCGCACCACGGCCGCCATCGCCAGGTCGATGGATCTCCTCGAAGCGTACCTCCGCACCTGCAGCGAGGGAAACATGGTGGTCAGAGGGAGTGAATAAGGCAGGGCGCCTGCACACGACGGGGAACTCTTCCTCCTCACCTTGTTGGACATCTCCGCAGTGGACATGGCGTCCATGTACTCGGGGGCGAGGACGAGCGGCTGCGAGGGAGAGGCTGCGTGCGCTGACGAGTCCTAGAGGCAAGCGGAGAGTGAGAAGGCGCCCAAGGGCGTCAGAGCGAACGCACTTTCTGCCGTACTTTGCGGCCTTACCTGAGACGCGTAGAGTGCCAGGGTGCCGGGGGCGGCAGACCCGGGGGCCGGAACGGTGGCCGAGTGCGGACTGGAGGCCGCCGCCACGCTGCCCGATCGCTGCGGCGCCGACGGGGCGGGCTGCAGCACCAGCAGCCCGGCCTGCAGGTTACCCGGGACTGTTGGGGAGGACAGTCGTTAGCAATGAGGCTGCCGTTTGTCGGGTGGCGAGCGCGCCTGTCTTAGTACTCACGGGTGCCTGCCGGGCCGGTGGCCGAGGGCCCAGTGGGGGCCTGGCCCGTGCGGTGCAGCGCGCCGTGCGCGTGCGTGTTGGCGGGGGCGTGAGCGTGCGCGGGGGCGTGGCCGAAGCCCGCGCGGCTGTACTCGTCGAGGAGCGACACTGCCGCATTGTAGCCTGGAACACGGGGTGCGGAGCAGGGCGTGAGCCGGCCGACTGGAGTCCTGGACCAGCACCGGCACACGCCGCGCACGCAAAGCAGCTGCATGCCAGGGCGGGTGCGGCAGGCTGAGCCCGAAGGCCGGGGCGCTACTCACCGTGTCCGCTGGGCGCGCCGCCCGCCGCCGGCAGGTACTGGGGAGCGGGGTAGTTGTAGCCCTGGAAGTGCGCGGCCGCGAGGGGCGGCGCGCCGTACGCCGCGTAGTGCGCGGGCGCCGCGGGGCCCGAGGGCGCGGACGGCGCGGAGTGGTGCACCTCCTCCGTGTGGCCGCCGTGGCCCAGCGCCTTGGCCAGCACGCCCTTGCCGAACTCGGTGAGCTCCTCGCCCTTGGTGGCCAGCTTGCGGCCCTTGGCGGCCACCAGGTGGCCCTTGGCGGTCAGCAGCTTGCCCTTGAGCGCCAGAACGCCTCCGCCGACGGCCTTGGCGGCCTCGAGGAGCTTGTGCAGGATGGCCTTCTTGAACTCCCACAGGCTGAAGTGTGGTTTGTCACACTGAAAGAAGAGATGTGACGATACAGATACAGAAGAGTCCCGCCCAAGAGCGCCACTCTCTCCCAGGGCCAGGGAGAGAGCCGTTGTGCTCCTGAAGGTAGCCGTAGACACTGCTCGGACCCGGCGGAGCCCCTGCCAAGGGCGGGGTAGGCAGGCCCGTTGAGCTCCGCGCCGAGGCGGGCGACCTATCTCAGCCGCCTGCCGCGCGGGCCTCCGGCAGGCGAGCGGTGCTCAACGTCGTCTGCGATCACACATGCGTACGATTCTGTAAGAAACTACAGGGGGAAAGTGGGCTCCGACGTGTGGCATGCTGCTCGCTCGGCGCAGTTTCAGTGCGACGGCGGCGATCGGCAAAAGGGGTGCTAACTGTGGGGTGGGAACTGTGGACAGCGGTGGCGGCGGGCGGGTGGGTCACGCGTCAGCCCGACCGCCGGCCCCGGCGGTCCAGGGGGTTGACCGACGCACGTGAGATGACTGGGTCCAGAGGAAGCCGGGCCCCAACACCACGACAGCTGGGCGACCGTCGTCTCCTGTTAAGTAACGCAGATGGAACGTTCTTTCTGAAGTAACGAGGCGGGTGGGCAACGGGTCGTGGAGCGACCCACCGTCGACGGCCCGGGCGTCACTTCCCCTAAGAACAGCCTGCGTTTTCCCTTCTCCTCCTCCTCCGTCGCCGCCGTCACTCGGGCGTTCGCTGAATTACATGTCCGAGGGAGCCCCCTCTGCGACCCGACATGACCCGCGTCCGTCGCTATTCCTTCCTGGGAATCACCGCGCCAGCGCCGGCGGCGCCAGCTATCGCACGCGCGGGGGAGGGAAAAAAAAGAGGATTACGACCGTCGTCGGAATTTTTGCTCACGAAATGTCACGCACGCGGAAATTATGATTATTGCGTGAGTGAAGACCGCCACTCTCCACTAAGCACACTTTTTGCTGTGTTGTCCGGATAATTAGAGGTGGTATGGAAAAAAAGAGGGGTGGAAGGGGTGGAGGTGAGGTTGGGGGAAATCGTACATATCGCGTGTGGCACCGCGTTACTCGCTTACTCTCTCACTACACACACTCACACACTTACTCACGCACACAAACACGCACACACACACGACACGTGCATTCATACGACTGTGGCAGAAAGACATCCCGATGTGCGTTTTTCTCTTCTTTTTCGCAGGGCGCGGTTTGCGAGCGCCGTCATGCGACAGTGAGAGTAAAAGCAAGAGCAGAACACTGTCCGTCCCCTCCGCGTGTGCGTTCGGAAGGGGAGCGACAGCGTGAGGCGGCTGATGCGGCGGCGTTTGCTGCAGCGCTCGCGACTCGCCGAGTAGAGTCGAAAGCCGCCGCGGCCGCGCCATATAATGCGGCGATTAGGGTGCGTCCGACGGCCTGCGTCGTCGTCGGGGTAGTGGCGGCGGGGGTTTGGGGTTCAGGCAGCGGGGCCCACCGTGCATTTTTTTACGTTACCGGGACAAGTGTCCTGGCGAAATATATGAGACTCCACTACTTATGAAACGGGGGCATTCGGGCGAGACCCCCCCCTCCCCATGGGGCGTGCAGTGCCCCCCGCCGCGCACGTTACCTTGGTGTTGTAGTTGTGGAAGTGAACGTGGTGCGAGCCCTTGCTGCTGAGGTAGCCCAGCTTGTGATTGACCACGCCGCTGAGCAGGGAGACTGGCAGTGCCCCCGTGCGCTTCACCCGGTCGGCCTGGCCGCCGTCCTGGAGGGGCGCCCCGGCCACGAGGCCGCCACCGTACAGGCTGCGCCCCTGCTCCACCTGCTGCTGCTGGGTGTCGCTGGCCGCCGCCACGACCGAGTCCTCGCCCTGGCCGTCGTCGGCGGCCTGTGTCTTGTGCAGCGCGCTGCTCCCCAGGAAGGCCATGAACGTGTCGAAGAAGCTGCTGCCGCCCGTGCCGGGGTCGGCGTCGGCCTCGGCGTCGACGCGGTCCTCTGCGGAGCTCTGCTCGGCCGGCGTCACGGCGGCGGCGTCGCACCGGTAGGGCATGGTCCCTGCCCCCGCCAGCAGCAGGGCGGCGAGCAGAAGCTGCACCCGCGCCATCTGCAAGAGAGAGGTTGTCATAAGCAGTGACATCGACAGGCGATAGTGCCATAGAGTGAGTGACGGGGGGAGGGATGGGGTCAGTAGCAAACAGCACTCTGCAATTTATTTCACAGTAACTAAGTTACATTGCCGTTTAGTTTGTCAATAAAAACATTCAACAGCAGAACTAGGTTTTTACACCTAAAGCGATGTCACGGTTTTGACTGAAAGCGGTCGTGGTCGTGTATTGGGCATCATCCGCCATTCGCCGTTACGAACCTGCCAAGCAAGCCTCTGCAAGCTTTCATAGCGCCTGGCAGGTAGGCAACATCTTTCGCGAAGTGCGTCCGTGTGTTGCGGGTCGGCCTACCCTGGGTCCCACAGGCGCCGAGCTCTTAGCTTACAAAATCTTACGTATTTTCTGGACGACCCTTTGGTCCTCCATGAGCAAAAGGTTTAGATGCCAGAAAATGCACGATATCGTTGCTACCCCATGGTGACGGGTATGAGCCCGGGCTACGGCCTGCAGCCCCGCCGCTCCGCCCGACCGCGTCGCATGTCACTGCGCGGCCTTTAGACGACCCCGCCCCGCCTCGCCCCAACACGCCACGCCACGCGCCATTCTCACACTTTCATCCGGAGCAGCGAGGCGCTTTTTTAAAGATGGGAGTGCTCGCTCCGCACGGCGAAGACCGCGACACGAAGGCGAGGCGCGAGGCCGAAGGGGGCGTTGTAAAGAACGACGTTCTTTTGGGGTTTTGTTTGTTCCGATACGCCGCGGCCGCCGCGGGGTGCGATGCGCGGGTTCCGACCAACAGCAACAAAGTGCATCCGGGGTGCTGACCCCTCTTGAGTCCGGAAGCGCGGCGCGGCGCCTCTCGTGGGGCGGAGAGAGAGAGAGAGAGAGAGAGAGAGAGAGAGAAAAGGGGACAACCACTTCAACGTACCCCTCCCTCCCCGGCACGGGGTCGCTGCTCCCGGGAGGGGAGACAAGCAGTGGCCGGAATGATGATGATGATAATGTACATGTTTGTGGGTTACTTGAGAGAAAATCAATAATTAAGGCCGTCGACGAGAAGGGAACCCGATCAGGTGTGACCGCCGCTTGTGGCGTCCCCTTTGCGTGTGTGTGTGGGGATGGGGAGTGCTCCGCTCTTGCGTAATACAGTCGGCCACCACGACGTCGCCAGGAGGCTCGGCCGGCAGGTCGCAGCCCGCCGCGGCCGCGCGGGGAAGTGCACGGAGTTTAACGAGGTCCTCCGGCGGCGCTCTATGCCGCGTCAGGTGTGCACCTCTGCTCGGCTCTGCTCTGTGCTGCTCTCCCGGTCGGCATGATCACGCCTCGCTCGCCGGGCGGGAAACTCTTCCCGGGGGAACCGACACCGATGTGTGCAGCGGCGCGGCGGCTGCAGCCTGCAGCTCCACCTGCCCGCCCCGCACCCCGCCTCGCGCTGGCCAGTTGTTTGTTGTTCCAGCTCCAGCCCGAGTGGCCCGAGTGGGTTGTGTAAGCGACCCCGCGCGTCCCTCCCCCGGCCGCTGCACAGCTGCACCGCCCGGGTAATGCGATGAAATGCACTCGGGCGCTGCCGAATACTGTGCATCAGCGGTCCGCCGGCGTCCCGGATGTGTCTCGCTGGTCTCGCGGCCCCTCCTCCGTTCACCCTGCTGAAACGACCCCGCGCCGCACCCGCAACCGCACCACACCACCCACCTCAAAAAAACTTAGTCCTTGGACCAAGAACGTTGCACGTTGTACTTGATCCTTGCATTTTCAAGCACACATTACTAATCAAGAAATACGTGCTGCGCCGTTTGGGATGCGTACCGGTGTACCGGTGTGCATCGCGCTGATATGGGAGATCCGTCAGAGGGTGCCGGTGGCGGACGTGTGCAGGCGCACGGGGGTGACCGCGGCGGCCGCTGCACCAGCGGCACGCTGCAGCGGCGGGGCCGGTGGGTCCTACCCGTGACCTTACGCAGGCCGCGCGCTGCGCCGGCTCCAGAGGGCCCCCTTCCCTATGAAGTGACGCAACGCCTCGTAACGCCCCGTAAGAGAGACGGGGGGAGGGTGTGCGGAGGAGGAGAGGGGTTCCACCGTTTCCCCTCCACCCGCACCGCCCTGCTCCGCCAAGATCAAGACCGGCTGTCCGGCGGGAGGTACCAGGCGGCAGCCTCCGCGTGTCCGCGCGGCGGGCGGGGCGGGGCGGGGTCGAGTGGGGCTGGGGCACTTTCACTGGAGCGCCTCGGAGAATGAGAGGGGGTGCGGGGCAGG